TGCCCCGAAGAGTGACGCATGACTCGAACCTGACCTCGACGAACATGGCTGCGTTCGAAGAACTTCCGACACACGACCCTGGGTTAGTGGACTGCCACGACAACGAGCTCGACCCAGACGCTACCATCATCCCAGACTTGTACGAGACGTACCTGAGGGTGTTGCCTCGAGGCGCAATACCTAGCGAACTCACTGTCGCGGCCGAGTCCCATTCTCTTCGAACAATTGACCTCACGATCAATCGTAAGGAGAAGGTAGCCTGCATTCTCGATCCCGGTTCGCAGGTCATCTGCATGTCGGAAGCGCTGTGCTATCATCTCGGTTTATCATTCGACCCGACCATCGTCCTCAGCATGCAATCCGTGAACGGTGGAGTCGACCGCTCGCTCGGCCTTGTTCGAAACGTACCATGTCAAGTCGGCCCGATCACCTTGTATCTCCAGATCCACGTCATCAAGCGCGCGTCGTACGACGTACTGCTAGGTCGACCATTTGACGTCATCACTGAGAGCCTGGTGAAGAACTTCGCCGACGAGAATCAAACCATCACCCTGTTGTGCCCGAACACGTCCGAACAGATCACGGTACCTACGATGCCTCGAGGACGTCCGAAGTTCCAAGAGGTTTTTCAGAAGAGGCAGTCGGGACTTTTGAACACGTAGTTCAAGCCGACGATGACGAGCAAGTCGCGCTTGTGATCGACTTCAAAAACGATACCCCGTCCATTTCTGCCTATGCCAACATATCATCTCTCGAAGACCCAGTTCTCGCGGCTACGTATCTCTCCGTTCCACATACCTATTGCAGTTTTATTTTCAACAAAGTCAGGACAGCCACCGAGGCTACGAGACCGACTCAGCATACCCCATCATACGCTTCGAAACCTTCGAACACGCCGACTTCTTCGACCATTTCTCCGAACACATTCACTCGTTCGAACAACTCACCCACGTATACCCGCACCGGCCATACTCGTCCGAGGATGCTCCTGATGTGTCCACGTTCGCACAGGCAAAATCGAAGAAGAAGTACAAGCCGGTAGCACTCAAGACGAGACCTGTGCTCGGGTCCGTCCCCGAACAGTTTCGTATCGTTCGCGACATCAAGGGAGATCCGCTCTCTACGATGCGTGAACTCAACCCCAACCCACCTCCTTTCAAGCCCGAAGGTCGCTACACGGCCGAAAGGGCAGCTATCTCGGATAAGCTACACGACGATGATCTGTTACAACCCGCCGAACACGATCTACTTCACCACTTCATGGCTACGAACAACGACACGTTCGCGTGGTCAGACAACGAACGTGGGAACTTCAAGTCCGAGTATTTCCCACCTATAGACTTTCCTGTGATCCCGCATACGCCCTGGGTCCAGAAGAACATCCCTATCCCTCCTGGTCTGTACAAGGAGGTCTGCTCAATGATTCGTCGCAAGATTGACTCCGGAGTCTACGAACCTTCGAACTCGTCGTACCGTTTGCGATGGTTTTGTGTTGTTAAGAAGGATGGCAAGTCCTTACGGATCGTTCACAGTCTCGAGCCTCTCAACGCAGTCACGATCCAACACTCTGGTGTCCCGCCGACTCCCGAACATCTCGCCAAACAGTTCGGAGGACGAACGTGCGGAGGGATGCTAGACCTCTATGTCGGCTACGACGAACGCTATATCGCCGAAAGTTCAAGAGATCTCACCACGTTCCAGACACCGTACGGAGCCATGCGACTTACTACGCTTCCTATGGGGTGGAAAAATGCAGTACCCATCTTCCACGACGACGTAACCTATATTCTTCAGCCCGAAACTCCCGAACACACTGTACCCTACATCGACGATGTTCCGCTCAAAGGTCCGGCTAGCGACTACGGTGGCGAAGTCATCCCGCAGAACCCTGGCATTCGAAGGTTCGTCTGGGAACACTTCCAGAATCTTAACCGGATTGTCACTCGAATGCGCTACGTGGGTGGAACGTTTTCGGGAGTCAAGAGTGTGCTGATAGCCCGAGAAATCATGGTCATTGGCCACCGTTGTACACCTCAAGGGTGCCTGCCGACGAATCTCGAGTCGCGACCATCCAGAACTGGGGCGCCTGTCAGACCTTGTCCGATGTTCGAGCGTTTCTAGGCACGATCGGAGTGTGCAGGATATTTATCAAGAACTTGCGCACCGGGCCGACACTCTCGTTCGTCTAACAAGGAAGGATATGCCCTTCGAATGGGGCCCCGCACAACAGCAGGCTCAGGACGACTTGAAGCAGGCGTTGCTCGAAAGCCCAGCACTTCGTTCGATCAACTACGACTCGACGGCACCCGTTATTCTGGCCGTCGACACGTCCTTCATTGCAGTCGGATTCCTCCTATGCCAGTGCGACGAGGAGGACACCAAGCGCAGGTACTACAGCCGCTTCGGCTCAATTACGCTCAACGACCGCGAATGTCGATTCTCGCAACCAAAGCTTGAAATCTATGGACTGTTCCGCGCTCTTCGAGTGCTTCGAATGTATGTCATCGGCATTCGGAACCTCATTGTGGAAGTCGACACGCGCTACATCAAGGGAATGCTCGCTAATCCTGACATTGCACCGAGCGCGAGCATTAATCGCTGGATTGTCTCAATTCTCACGTTTCACTTCACTCTCGTGCATGTACCGGGGACCTCACACGGACCACATGGACTGTCCCGAAGAACGACGCAGCCAGGCGACGACCCAATTGACGAAGACGACGCGTTCGAAGACTGGATCGACAACATGTACTCGTTCATGCACATGATACAGCCTTATCCCACCCTCTCCCACCCTTCGAACGTTGCGGTGCTCGTTTTGACCGAGGACGGTCAAGATTTCAGTAAGGGGGAGGATGACGACGACTACGCGATAGTACCACGCTCACACATAATGGGGTCAAACTACTGGTTTGTTACCTGGCCACCCGACGTGAGATTCACCTATAGTTGCCCGGCCACCCGACGTCGGCCGACGGTGTGACTCCGCCGTTGTTGTCCGGGTCGGCCGACGGTCAAAATATCCGGGCGTGCACGGATGGGCCGACCGGTCGAACTGCGATGGTGTTCCCGTCGCGGCCGCCCACGAGAGCTCGCAGGGTGTGTTCTGGGATTGGCATTGTGTGCCGTCATCCCCCGCGGGTCGGCCGACGGTGAGATGTTGGGGGACTCACAGGTCGGCCGACGGTCAAAACTCACCATATACACCCGGACGGCCGAGCGTGCTCCGGATGCATCTGTACCCCATCGGCCGAGTGTTGGACAGGACGTTGGTCCCATGGCGGCCGGCCATTAGGCAAACCATGGCATTCCGGCCGGCCGAGGGACCGCGGATCAACACCATTGGGATTGCTTTCAGGGGAACCACTATTGCCCGGTCGGCCGACACCTCGTTTCAACAGTCCCATTGCGGCCGCAGCGATGTGTTTTCTACAATGCATGCATCTCCACCCGGTCGGCCGACACTGCACTACTGTAATTATGCCTGGTGGGCCGCCATCCGGACGCATTGTTGTGACCCGGCCGGCCGACCCCTTGTGAACCCGCTGATATCCGAGCGGCCGGTCGTGATAATTGATAACAAATGTGCTGTCCATTCAATGTCTCGGCCGGACCCAAGTGGAAGGTATCTCCTTCCGCGATATATGTGTTGGCCGGCTGTCTGTGTGTTCCTTTCCTTCGTGCCCGCTGGTAAATCACATTTTGCCTATCCCACACACCACCAGAGCACACCCTCAGCATTGCGGATGCAGCCCGAATGCGCCCTAATGCCACAGCACGGATGCACCCGGATGCACCCTAATGCAGCACTTCAATCACTGCGTAATCATGATAACGATGCACCCCCCCGGAGAGTCCGGCCCGAGATCCCATAATGAACTGATCACAAGGAGATCTGGCTGATCTTCCGGGAATGTAAGACCATTACTAGACATTTACCAGCCACAGCTTTTGCATGCGACTGTTGTACAAACTATACAGACCCACCGAAGATCTCATTGAACCTTGCCGACCTGATCAACACAGTCTCCTCCCGCCATGCCGCACGAAAATCTCGACATGCGTGTATCCACTTATATGGTTACGTTGTACGATTACAGACTGGCTTGCTCGGCTGGGACTGCCGGACAGAATGTGTCGCCCGCGCCGGACCCCGACTTTAGTCCGGAAATGATCGGCCAGGCACACCAAATGGTCGACATCATTGCTGAAGCCTTTTCTCGTCGATGTGAGCATGGTCCATCAGGGAAAACCGCCCAGACGCTTGGGCCCTCTGAAGAGCAACAGAGAGTGCTTTGAGAGCGCCAAAGTAGCCAAACCGCCTCAACCAATCTCAACACAAGTGCCTCGGTCTCAAGAGGAATTGTTTGACAAAAGCAGCTTTTTATTTTCATTTATTCCTTGAAGTGCGTTTCCAACCGCCATTTGTCAGGGCAGCCCAGCATTGGGTTTCCCACTCAAAAAGCAATAATAAACTGGTTTGCGAGTGATAAAACCAACGTCCAATTCCTACTCATTAAGAGGTTGGGACTGCTAATCAAGAGCTCTCAAGATGTGCATATTGCGCCCATAGCATGGTTATAAATGGATGATGATGCACTTCAGTAGGCAATGCGAGCGAACAGTTCATTGCGGTATTGACGGTGCATACAGTAATACATGATCACAACACGTAGCTATACAGGGTATACCACCAGCTCGTGGATATGAGAGCGATGTTAGTAATGCAGCTGGTGTTTGAGCCCAGTAAAAGCTACAGAGAGGCGGAGAGGACAGCGCAGGCATGGGCACAGAATGACAGTCCGAATACGACGTACATGATGTAGAGAACCTCGACGAAGATGATCGTACACGAAACGGAGCGCAGCGAGACGTACTGCGTTTCAGTTCCACCACCTGACGGACGTAGACAGGACGTAGACACCACCATGGCAAGACCTATTCAGTTTCAGGAATTATGCTCCATGTCAGACCGTCAGTTCACGCACCTGCACACTCCTCTACGCGGTCGACGGGGCCTCTGCATCCTCTTCACGCTCGTCAGGCTGGCCTGAGCCGCTTGCCGAGGCCGCCGCAGGCACGTCACTAGCCTTCGTGCCAGTGTTCTTCGGCGCCCACAGCTTGGAGATGCGCGAGATCGCGGCCGTAGGAATGCCACGGGTGACCGTAGGCTCAGCTGCCTCGTCGTCGTCGTCTACGCTCGTGCTCGAGATCCCTGCAAGCCTCCTGATAGGCACCATGTTGTGTCAGCACAGCGTCAGCAACAGGCTATGTGCTTACCGTATGGTGTTCGCCAACGTCTCATCCATTGACTTGCAGAACCGAGCACAGCCCTCGTCGTACTTCGACGGGTCACTCGGGTCCGCACAGCGCCGCAGGTTGTCGATGCTGACCTTCAGACGATCGTGCCTACAAAGCACAGTTAGGCCGGCGCTATAAACAAATAATGTTCCTTACTCGGTGGCGTACGTCTTCTCGTCGAAGCTGACGGTGACGTTCACCTTGACGGCCTCGTCCAGCGCAACGATGATCTAATGCACAATGACTTGAATAGAGGCTTCAGTACCTAGGGTATCGTACTCACCGCAGAGCAGACCAGAGCTATCATGTTGCTCGACAGGGGCTGCTTGTTGATGTCGAACCGCGCGTGGTTCTCAGGCCGCATGGCCTCCCGATGAGCTCCAGACCACCACTGACGAGCTGCGACTTCAGCCACAGCCTCGTTGTGGAAGGGAGCGTCCAGGTTGGCCACCCACAGCTAATACATATCAGTAAGCCGTACCTAGACATTGGCACGCACACGCACCGAGGGATCCACCATCGGATCTGGCATCTCCAAGTTGCCGTGATGGAACGCGAAGTCCTGCTTCAAGAACTTCACGAGAGCCTCGAGGTGACTCGCCGTCTTCTCGTTGTACGCAGCACTGCTGAGCTTCTTGCCGTCAGAGCCGTGTTGCGGCACCTTGAACGCGAGGAAGTTCTTCTCGACGACGCGCTTTGCCTTCTGCTTGACTTCCTGACGAAGTTGAGATGACACCTTCGCCACCTGACAATTTGCTCGATGCTCATGTCACCGCTGAGACATCATGAAGTGACGACTCACATAGTGGATCATCCTCCCGCGAGTCACTGTAGTATCCGCCCACGCCCTGTTGTACGCGGTCAAGAACTTTTCGGTCTTGTACCTCTCGTGCTTCTCCATGAGCATCTTCATGATCTCCACGGGCTTCTCGGTCTTCTCCATACGACCGTCCTTCATGACTCGAGGCCACGCGTTCTCCAAGCTGAGGTACACGCGGAACTCCTGCTGGGCGTGGTGCAGGAAGCTCTTCAACGGCTCCTGCGTCATCGTCTCGAGCACGTTGTTGTCGACGTCGATGACCTTCTTAGGCCGGCCGACCTTGCGCTTGCCCTTGCTCTGGGCTTTCTCTTTCTTCTTCTGCTGAGGCTTGTCCTTGACCTTGACGACGATCTAGGCCAAACGTCAGTCAAACGCCGCCTTCCAAGCCACAGTCTCACCTCGTCATCCATGTCCACGTCGCCATCAAGCTCGTCAACGTCCTCCTCTCGGTCGTGACTCGACACCTTGTACTCGCTGCCATCGTCGTCAGAGTCGTCCGGGACGTGGATGGGGGACATCGACTCCATCTTGACGCGACGAGTACGCCTTGCTGCACCCTTTCCTGCTCTGGATGGCGAACCTGCTGTCACAGATATCAGTCATCAGCGTGAGTTGTAAGACACACCAGTGGCTCACCGCCCTGTCCAGAACCTTCCTCGTCCTCGTCCTCGTCCTCGTCCTCGTCCTCGTCATCGTCCTCATTCTCCTCGTCACTGTCCTCCAGACGCAGGAAAGTCTTCTTCTCCGGAGGCTTCGCAACGCCCTGCGTCTGCTTGGCTGATTTTGTACCTGAGGAATTAGTAAAATACGCGACTCTTTGAGCGACTTACCAAGGGATGCAGCCAGGTCCTCCTCCTGCCTGGGCGCCTTCGAGCGCGACACCGGGGGCGAGGACTGGATGACCACCTCCGGTATGACAACACGCTTGCGTCCAGGCGACACCTCTGCGAGGTATGCGTCAAAACAGGACCGTATGCTCCGAAGAACATGACGCTCACCAGACGTCTGACCTCCTCTTGCGCTCGTCGACGCGGCGTCGGCTGCCGATGCGTCCTGACCAGCTGGCTTACTTGCCAGCTGGGTCTTCGCCTTCTTCTTCTCGGGCTGCTCCACGCTCGCCTCGTCATCGCTCGCCTCCTTCTCGGGGGTCTCAGTCGCCTTCCTCTTGCGTGGGCGAGGCTTGGGCCTAGGCGGCGATGGATCTAACGCACAATGAGCTCGCCACTCACTAGTTGTGCGTTTACTCACCGTTCGCTTTCTTCTTGCCCTTGCTCGCCGATGTGACCAGCTCTCCTTCGTCATCCTCCGACTCCTTCTCTGTATCCGACGCCTTTTCCTTGGCGACTAAGGCGTCGTTGTCGTCCTTGATCTCTGTGGCACAATGCGCTAGTAGTATGCTGATACACAGTGTGAATCACGATACTACGTACT